TTTCATGAGCAGGGAGGTGCAACCTAACTGCACATACTTCTAAGTTCTTTTCTTTACAGTATTTTTCCATATTTTTATTAGTAGACTAGATAGTTTCATGTACAAAAATATGTGCACCCCCATTCTGAAAGGTGCTCCTACAAAAACTAGCCCAGAGTTTGAAACCCGTCATCAAAGATCACAGTGCTGGTGCTCGGTTAAGCAAACAGTATGAGAGGAATCCAGAAAAGAAGAGATAGATAATTCGTCGAGCTTACTTATATTAAGTCCTCTAATGTTTTGATGGTAGATAACTAGATCTTCATTACCTGGGTTTAGGGGCAGTGGTTGCTTTATATGTTTCCTATTCTACTTGAAACTAGGTTCACTATGATTTAATGTGTACACATTTAAGTGTTCCATAAAAAATCATTTCTAGATGTTGGTATTTTTCTATAGTGTTTAGAAATTTGTTGAGTTGGCAGTTGGGCCGGTAAAGGTTTGGTTTTTAGGAGAACATCCATTTGTATTTCCTTGTCATGCCATTCAAGAATTATAGGTTTTGCATTGATTCTTTCCAACCGTGAAAGTATATGAGACACTAATTGGTTTGATAATATATCCTTGCCTAGCCCATTAAGTGAGAGCCCTGCCTTGTATATAATAGTCTATTATTTATCAATTCTTTTGTAATTACATGACTAAAAATGTTTGCTAGTTTACTCAGTTTGCTGTTAAAGAGTTGAATTGAATTATTTAAGTGAGAAAGATCTGTAGTATCATATCTAAGAGGAGCCCTTATTACGTTGGTGTGCCTTACATTTGTAATGTAATTTACAGTGTTCCTGAATGCTGCTCTTAAGTCATTTCTACTAATGTCATTAGATCCACTACTAATTATTAAGAAGTCATTTGCCGTTAGGTTGCCCACTTCTTCCTTCATTATTTCACCTAATGATTCTATGCAAGATCCTGGATTTATCACACCACACACTTCAAAATGAGCATCCAGAGAAGTTATCATCTTCGCTGCACAACCTCTCACATGGCTATCACCAATTGTCAATACTATATGCTTATTACTTTTAAGATATTTTATCTGTATGGTAAGAAGAAAGGCAATAAATTCTGTCTTGTTACTGTACATTTTACACAGACTGGCTGTTGCAAAGAAAAAGACAGTAAAAAAAATGTAGAAAAGAGCACCACTTATACAACTTGCACAATACTGTATCTCGACAAACTCCAGACTCTAAATACTTGGAACACATGCAGTACTCAGAAGCTGAGTTGGACTGTAAAGGGATACATGTTTATATTTTTCAGCATTTCTTCTTAATCTGCTGATCAACCGAGAGAGTGATCACAACAGCAGAAATACTTTCAACGAAATCTATTGCAACTGCAAGGGTATATTATTTTCCACAAGTTGACCAAAGTCTTCAAAATAACAATGCATCTTTAATGCTAGAGTGAAGCATTTCCATATGTTATTCTTGAGCTTTAAATCTCCATGTTATACAAACCAATATCCTGATCATGTGACAGGAGTACAGTGCACACCTCCCCCATGAAATGTGAAATGGTATAAAAAATTGTGAGCTCCTGTTTGTATTTCTTAAGCAAATCCAAGCAGTTTTTGATTTCCTAGTATCTCATTTTTACAGAACATTATATTGGCTGACTGCAGTAACAAGTCTCTTCTCTTAAAAACCTTGTTACCAATACATGTCCCTTTGAAATTAGTGCCATAAAGTTCACACATACATTCACAGATTTCAAATTCCAGGGCAAACATCTGAAGTTGTATAGGCTTATCACTAGTTTTATAAACATTTCACATTACCTTCCTCTGCCTGATGGTGCTGCAGCATGCTAAAAATGGAACAATATGACACCTTTTGGCAGCACAGTTACTGTGAACACAATGCTAACCACAAAAAGAAAGTTGTACTTTTACTTTAAAAATCTACTTTGCAGCTCAAAATTTGCAGATTATTAACAGTGTGGAGAAAGCCATGGATAATACAATAATCTACATTACTGTGGCTTCACAAGACATGAAATCACAGAGTTGCTATCTTCTGGGACATGGGGGTGTGTCTGTAGTGTAATCTCGTAGTTTATCAACATTTCTGAGAGACATACAGCGTCCACCTTCAGAGCTGAAAAGTAAGCTAAACAAGCTGCAAGGAGTGCACAACTATGCCCCTTGCTTGGCTTACTCTCTGACCCAGGCAGTAAGTTCCTCCAAAATATCAGCTAACTTCTACCAGCATCATAGTTGCTGCTGTGAACCTCAAATCTAACATACATGAAACCAGTTTGTAATTGGAGGGTGAAACATATGCTGCACATTATGGCTCAAGTAACTGTTACAAGAAAATTACAGTACCCTTACAGTAATATGCTTAACATGACTAAAATAGGTCGCTCACAGTACCTCCACAATTATCATGTCAGGAGTTGTTGCAAAACATTTTACCATTCACAACAGAAAGGAATGCTCACAAAGTCCATAAAACTTCTCCCTGGAATGTGTAAACACATGTTACTGTAACTGTATTCCTCTGAAATTAAATCTGATAACAGTTCATCAATAATTATTGATGAACTCTGTCTCTGTGTAGTGGCATACTTGAGCAGCATTAGGATGCAGTACTTCCATGCAGAAATTGCTTTTTGATTTGAAAAAGTAACATAGTAGTAACGGTAGTATTATAATACTACCGTTTATATTGAAGAAAATCGTGTCTTTACTTACAGATCTGTAGAGAGATGAAAGGAGGAAATTATGTTACTTTTTCAAATCAAACAGCAATTTCTGCATGGAAGTACTGCATCCCAATGCTGCTCAAGTATGCCACTACACAGAGACAGAGTTCATCAANTTGATAAATATTCATAATGAGATTCCTTACTAAAATTTGAAGAAATGTAATTTTGTTTCATGAGATAGCTCAGTCAGTATAGCAACATGCTACAGGCTAGATAGCCAAGGTTCAGTTCCTGGCAGAGAATATTTCTCTCCTCTGTAGCAATCCAGACCAGCTCTGAGGCCCACCTAACCTCCTATCGAATGGGTACCAGGGGTTACTCCCCCAGGGGGATAAAGCAGTCAGGGCATGAAGCTGACCAGTCACCTTCATCCAGTGTCAAGTTCAAGAATGGTGGAGCTATACCTACACTGCCTCACATGTCTTCATGGCATAATGCTTAATTGAGCATGGGGACAATTTTACCTTCATTAGACATTCTTGGACTTTTCATGATACTTCAAATTTGGATTTAATTAATACCAAATGAAATTATACATCTGGAAGAGAAAAATTAATCTGTAGGACAGCAGAGTGGGTTCCATTATAGAAGTTAATTAATCCTACTGTAATCCAAGTAATGGATATAAAATTTTTGGGTGGTGTTGAAGGAAAAATGAGAAGGGATGTAAATATAAGAGGAATGTTTGCAACTGCTTGGTCATGCAAATAGAATGATAGTGTGGCTAGAGCAAGGATGTTGAGAAGGGCTTTAGAATTACTTTCTGAATGTGAGAGTCACCCAGTTGGGTGGATACTAATAGACAGTATGAAGAGAGGAATTAACTGGCAAGTTATCAAAAGTGAAATGTGGGAAGAAGGGGTAGAGATTGGAGATATCATGCACATAGATCTGCATACAGCAGAAATTATGTGGAAGAACATAAAAAGATTATTGTGTTTAATTCTTTGATTCACATAATACCAGGAAACTGAATTTTATTCACTTTAAGCATTCCACTGAGACCATTGTGCTATCATGAATGTGGTCCAGTGTGGACTGAAGATGCTTATGCTGTGAGACATTCTAACCACCCAGCAGGGTTCCTGCAGAGCTCACCAACAAGGGTGACACACTGCCACCAACATCATGCCCTGCCAGTGCACTCAGTCCCGTCTTCCCCATGGTACTCATCGGCAGTGAATTCTGCCTCAGACCTGCATGCTGGCCCACGGTTTGCACCTAGCTGCCAGGTAAATCCCTGTGGGGGCAGGAAATTTTGTTTCTCCATGTTGTCCAGACCAGCTCTGGGACTTGCCCAGCCTCCTACCCAGTGGGTACCAGGAGCTCTTTCCCCAAGCTGTGAAGCTGACCACTCATATCCAACTAGAGGCAAGGTCAAGAAGACATGGTTTTATATATCCACTCCCCCATATGTCTTCATGGCATAGTGCGTAATCAGTTAAGAACAGGGACAACTTAACCTTTTTACCTTTTCTGTAGATCAACACTCAATAAGTTATTCTTGGGCTCAGTTAACTAAGCAAGAGACTATGACGACTTATTCTTAACCTAGGCACTAGATGGACGTAGGTGATCAGCAGTTCATGCTGACCATGCTGGCAGAGCATCCAGTGTCCAATTGTTAGGAGGTTGAGTGGACCCTAGAGCTGATCAGAACTGTGAAGGAGAGAAAAGTCTCTTCATTCTGTCAGGAATCAAACCTGCTTTCTTCAGCCATCCACCACATAGCCCATCAGAGAAATATTAGTTTTCACTGCTGTAATCTTATGCCGCAGTAAAGGAACCCACATATAATATTCCTCTGTTGAAGGATTTCTCTCATTTAATGTTCAGTTTTAATGTCCCCCAAGCTAGTAAACTCAAATCATCTCAGTTTAAGGTTTTCCTCAGTTTGATGTTCAAATTCACTGGTGTCTAAAGATATCTTAAACTGAGATTTTACTGTATTCTTAGCTACCACCAACCTGAGCATAATCTATGAAACAGAATAGCAAGTATTAGCTTTTTAAATAAAAGTTTACATTGTAAATTGACAGTCAAGTAATTGAACATGTACTTTTTGTAACTTTGGGTGATTGTTGGACTTACCTTGCAGTTCCGTCAGTTTGGCCACTGCACACCATACAACCATCATTATCAGCTTTATCCGCCTTTCCTGGTGCAGTCACAACTTGGTAGAGTTGCTCCTGAGCAGAATGCACTCTCAGGATGACCATCATATGTTCACATTGCAACTTATGCACCTAGGCAACTTCAGGTATGTACTGAAGCATGGTCTATTGACCAACGCTGTTACCACGAATCATTTTATGATAAGAAATTGGAGGTTCTCACTCCAGTGAATATGAAAAATTACTGTTTCTGGGATGTGTGACTGTGTAATCTGGTTGGATGAATATGTTTCCTCCATATTCTTCTACCCTGAAGACAGAGACAGCTTGTTCGTGCAAACTGTTGGTAAATGTACACCAGACTACATGCCATCGTATCCAAAAAGAGAGTAGTCCTCATAGTCAGTGCAGCAGTAACCTCAAATCTCACATCAGGATTAATGTCCTGTGGGATGTTATGCCATGCAGTCTGGTACGGGGTTTACTGACATTAGAGAGGCGCATACCACCTCCATCATCAGGGATATGGAGGTAGTAGATATGCCTGTGCTGTGGTGCTGTGTGCTAGATTGATGTCCATCTTCAGGTGACTAACATCACAGAAGCCAGCGATTTTCTACTAGCAGTAGGAGAATGTAGCATGGCAAGTAAATTTCAGATGTTTTCTGCATTGTTTTTCCTGCATTTAGTTTGGGTTTTAGGCCTTTATGTTATGCCCACTTTTCTTATTATAGATCTCCCAATGACAGAACATGATCACAGCTGCGTATATAGATATAGTTGATTGAGTTAGATTATTCTGTGATTGAGATTAGATCTTTCAAATGGATCCACCTAAGTAGGACCCCTTCACCTCAAGGACAGGGACAGATCAGTGTTTCTGAAACATTACGTTCGTTCAGAATACAAGTTGATGGACAAAATCCAGAACCTTAGTGATCCAGATATGTAATTTCTGACTTCCAGTTTCTCAATCCACTACTCATTCCTTGAGGAGTTACTTTTCTACAATAATATTTCATAATGAATCTCCTTTTAGGAGGTGGAATAACTCAGTGAGTGTAGTGAGTGGATTTCATAGCACAGTGTTGACATAAAAGAATGCTGCTTTCCTTCTTAGGGTGAATGTGCATCCATTGGGCGGCAGAGAGCACCGGAAGAATGACACAGTTGGATCGAGGAATTGTCCACCCCCGGTCCACACAAACGTAAATCGTGGGTCCTCACAGGGGCCCGTCCTAGATCACCACGACACCATCCTAACACCAGCAACAGAGGGAGGTGATAATACACGCCAATAGCCACTGCAACATATAATTTTCTAATTACTAAAATACAAGCTAATATCTGAATATGAAATTGGTTATACGTCCTTTGAAGATGGGACGTAGTTGAAGTACAGTAACAGTGAAGCAATGTGTGTGATTAAATTGGCAGAGTAACTTAAATGTGGGAAATGTATGGAGTTATCTAGTTCACAGTTTTTGTATGTTTGCTTCTGTTCTAAACACTGGAAACTTTTCTTATTAAGTAACTTTATAGAAATGATATGTTTTCTGTGAAAGATTTGCTGCTTGTATGAGAATATGCGGATGGTATGGCACTGGACAGCAGAGTGTGTTGCTTTGTGGAAGTTAATTATTCCTACTGTAATCCAAGTAATGAGTATGAAATTTTTGGAAGATGTTGAAAGAAAAATGAGAAGGGATGTAAATATAAGAGGAATGTGTACAGCTGCTTGGTCATGCAAAGAGAATTAGTGTGGCTAGAGCAAGGACGTTGAGAAGGGCTGTAGAATTATTTTCTGAATGTGAGAGTCGCCCAGTTGGGTGGATACTAATAGACAGTACGAAGAGAGGAAGCAACTGGCAAGGTATCAAAAGGGAAATGTGGGAAGAAGGGGTAGAGATTGGAGATATCATGCACATAGACCTGTGTACGGCAGAAATTATGCAGAAGGACACGACAGAAAGATTGTTGTGTTTAATTTTTTAATTCACATAATACTAGGAATCTGAATTTTATTCACTTTATTTCAGCATTCCACTGAGACCATTGTGCTGTCATGAATGTGGCCCAGTGTGGACTGAAGATGCTTATGCTGTGAGACATTTCTGCAGAGCTCACCAACAGGGTTGACATGCTGCCACCAACATCATGCCCTGCCAATTCACTCAGGCCCTTCTTCCCCACGGCACTCATCGGCAGTGAATTCTTGATTGACACTGCTCTCAGTCTCAGACTTTGTGGAATTTGGAAGAACTACTTTACATTATGAATACATAATTGCATGCATACTATCTGATCTGTTAGAACCAAATGGTATGAGAATAAACTAGGAAATTGTTGACTATGACTTAAGACTGTACAGAGTCCTGGCGGAGATTCAAACTGAGCACCTCCCAACAAGAAGTAGAACATTGCCATTATGCCATCCCATCTGGAAAGAATACAAGCTTCTAGTGATGAACATACATTCAGTTTCATTTGCCATTGTTTGCAAGGAAATGTATGGAGCACATTACCTGCAGATAGCTCGAGAAATTGAGTCCTATGAAGCCTCTTCCATTCCTGGTGAATTGCCTGTGGCTGAGGAAAGACCGCCACGGGTATTGATGAAAGCAGGAATTGAGCGGCTGCCATCCTACAAGTAAGTCATAACATCTTGCGTGTATATTCAGTTGATGTAATAGTAAGAACCATGCAGGATTCTTCGCATAGGTCAGATTAATATTTTCATAGGAGAAACTGTTAACTGTTGGTTATTTTGGGGACAGCTAGTGTTTTCAACTTTCCTGTGTCTGTATACTTAGGAGTAATGTAATGTCTGCTGTATGAGTTGCAGTGAGTTTGTGGGAACAGCCTTCCAGTGGCCATAGGCATATGCATTGCTAGTTATCTCTAAATATCAGTGTGGCAGATATGCCAGCAACACTCAAAATCTCTTTCTTCTATTGTAATATAGCACCTGCAATACATTCTGCTATGGTAACCAAAATCCTATATTTTGTACAGGCAGTCTACTTGCCAGACGTAATTACATCATCACACCTTACAGTAGAAACTGACTACCTCATTCTGTATATTTTAAATCCTTAACTGCAACGTGGGATCATAGTTTTCCAATGTCTCAACATGTTTCATTGTATCTTTCCCGTATGGCTCTGACATAGGCAGACCTGTTTCTGGGGCATTCAAGCTTCTTTTCCACTCCCCTTTGTAAGAAATTTTGCATGTTCCAACTTTGTATATAGATTCCATATTTTCTGAGGTCATCCTTGGTCTGTCAAGTTCTGTCTATGTTAATCTGTCTTAATTTGTCCTGAGTGTATTCATAATTCTTTCTTAGTATTTTGAATTGTTAAATTGTTAAATTTTAACGTTGACGACTCGGTTTGAGGGCGATTTTTTAGATGCAAGTGCTATACCTGCATTCAAGATACTGGAAAGTGTTGTGCTTTACACTCCGATATATGTAATAGTTCCCACAAAAAACTACATACTGTGGATGTTGAGCTGTGCCAGTGTTTTCATGTTTTGTTATAAGTGCCTCTGATGATGGTTCCTTTGAACCGAAACATGTAAGGCAGATGAGATAAATAAGTGACCAAAATATATATTGTTGCACTTGACGGAAAATCTATTGACAATTGGTCTTTCTTAGTATTTTCGTTCTTGATATGATCTAGTATATTGGTGGCTTTAACTCTATGTACAAATATCCTGAATTGAAGGTCAGTTGCATCAGAAGATAAGTATAATTAATTGTGTTGTACACATATTCATGCAGTACTTGATGTTAAAGTTGTCCCTGCACTTAATAATTAAGCACTACACCATGAAAACATTTGAGGGAGGTGAGTTATAACTCCACCATCCTTGACTCGATGTTATTTGTTTTAAATGTTATAATTATTTAGTCTTTATATAAATTCTGGCAATTAAATGAGTAGTATTAAATCAAGGGGCACAGTCATGGAAGAGCATGTGGAGAGACAAGAGACGCACAACATGGATTCCCTTATTCATGTGAACTGCATATAAAGTACACCTCCTGTTCAGTGTTTCTTGTGTTAATGTTTTCCTACATTTAACATTCTGTAATACCAAGGCAATATTCTCAGCATTAAATTTCCCCACTTTAAGATTTTCCTCCATTTAATATCCAAATTCAGTGGTCCCCAAAGAAATTCTAAATGGGGTTTCACTGTAATACCATTAATTCCATTTGAAGGTGTCTCTGGGGAGCAATAGATCTGAAAACTAAAGTAAGGAATATTGTAAATGGAAGGAATTTAACTTGGAGATTATTGACTAGCAGTCAGTGAAACTATCATGACATGACAGATAACTTAAATGGAGTAGTAACTGGGGGTTCTGCTGCATTTATCAGGCATTTCTAGCCATGCCATACATCAAGCAGGCAGTCATCAACGTCTTATCTTGGAGACCTGGGTTTAATTCCAGGTGAGTGCAAGTGGGACTTGTGGTGGGCAGAGTGGCATTGGTAGAGGATTTCCTCTGAGGACGTCAGTTCACTCCTGCAAACTATCATTCCATCAGTAATTCATGTCCATTTTGAATTGGGGGCTGTTACAATAAATAGGACACACGTCATGTATTACCTTACTGCATGTTTTGACCTTTTTCAAACGTCATCAGGTATATACTTCTTATATTTGTCTTTCTCTCTGATCTGCTGGACTGCCCCACATTGGCCATTGTTTACAGTATGGGTGCGTTTATTTTCAGTTGTTTTATGTAATACCTCTTTTTGTGTATGTTAATTAAATACTGTATTATTAAAATGAAAGTTAGTCTGTTAAATATTAAAATTAGAATTTAAACTTTAGAGGTCCTTATTATGATGACTGTCTCTTGTATCTCGGTTTTCTGAATTCAGGGGGTGTGCTCTGTGTTCCTGTTGATGTGGAATTTGTTCCCTGTATGATCTGAAATATAAATGCAAGGTTATTATATGTATTATGTGTGTTTTTCTTTTTTGGGGGGGCATAGGGGGTTTACATATAGAGGATGTAAAAAAATATATTTTTCAGTGCTCAGTGGTAGAGAGAGGTGTTCAATCTGGTCATGTTTTGTTAATACATCCATGTCTGGAAAGCTTTGCTTACGCACTGGGGCCTCTGAACTGTGAAGGAAGACACCCTTATCACTTACCTCTGCAGCTTACTGGTGACATTTACCTAACATATCTCCAAGAGACCTTACCGAGCTGCTAGAAGTGGTGCCTTTGGAAGTCCCTCGCGAAATGTTGTTCCAGCATGATGACACCCCAGCCCACTGCGCTAATATCATCCGTGAGTATTTGGATTAAACCTTTGGCAACAGATGGGTCGGACGTGGTGGCCCAATAACATGGCCTCCTCCCTCTTCTTACTTGACTCCACTGAATTTCTTTCTCTGGGGATACATGCAAAGCCTGGTGTAAGAGACTCCAGTGGAGACACAATATATGATCTTGTTGCAAGAATTGCAGTAGCAGCTGGAACCATCCAGGAAATGCCGGGAATCTTTCAAAGAGTTCAGCATAACATGGCCAGATGTTGCAGATCATGCCAATTAACCACTCAATGCTGTTTGACGTGTATGTTTCGTCAAGGGATTTAAATCGTTCGTGGGGGTTCGACGTCTATGTATCGTCCAGCTGCACACCTATGTTATAACGCCCATAATAATTGATGGTTTTGCTGTAGATTGTTAGATTTTTCGCTGGCCTGTTGTCAGAAGAACAATATATATATGAAACATGAGTTTAGCTGTGTTGCGTCATCGTTACCTATGCCTGTCTTGCAGCAAAAGCATGTTTCTTCGTGAAGAGATTTCATCATTCAAACTGTTATGAATGGCATGTTTTCTTTGTATGAAGTTATAAAGAGCGGAGACGTACTATGTGGTGTGTTTATAATATCATATTGCCCTGAGCAGGCTACACCAACCCACTCAATTAGAATTCTTAGAAGAGGGGTGTCCAGAAATTTGTTCTTGCAAGATCGATTGATTTTGCACAGTACATAGCAGCCAGTTCTTAGAATAACGTCACGAATTAAGGCAGAACACTGTGGTCACCCCCTGTGACGATATGGGGGGGGGAAAGAACTCATTCCTTCATGTATTATCGCTCCAGTTGACTCCATTTTATCGTACTGACCTTGGTGGTCGTGTCGAGGGATGACCAGAATTTTTTTGCTGCAATCTAAGCTCTGCTTTCGTGCACTACATACCAGCCAGTTCTTAGAATAATTTCATGAATTCTGTGGTCACCCCTATGACATCTGCAGCCAAAATGGATGGAATATGAAACGCATAGCACCAACCCCTTGTTATGATAACATAAAGGTTGAATTTACTGCAGCTGATCTGGCAAGCTAAACGACTCGCGGAAAGACATTTCCTTGTATTCCCCCCACAGGGAAGAAGGCAAGGCCGCACAGAAGATGTGTGGTTTGTGGAAAAAAGGGCCAAAGAAAAGATACACAATATTGGTGTGGTGAATGTGAGGCAGCGTTGTGTTTAGAAGAATGCTTCAAGGCGTACCATACACTGCTCAAATTCTAAACCACCTGCTTCCATTGCCAAGATACCGGACACTCATATTATAAGGTAAGGTTATAAAACCATCTTTTAAGATCATTTTAGTGAAAGTTTCATACTTCAAGGCGTACCATACACTGCTCAAATTCTAAACAACCTGCTTCCATTGCCGAGATACCGGGCACTCATATTATAAGGTAAGATTATAAAACCATCTTTTAAGATCATTTTAGTGAAAGTTTCATGTTCCTATCTCATATAATTTAAGAATAATGATGAATAAATAATTTTCGAGCAAAATTTAAATGGTCAGCTGAAAATATTACCACCGGAGAGACACGGCAGCAGAATTTAAATGACTGCGTGAAAGGGTTAAGTTGGTGGCCGCCATTTTGAGTAACTTTTATAATATATAACAATGATAACGTCCCCTAAAACTTATGTATCCTCTCAGAAAGTGTTGTGACTCTTAGCGCAAAAAGGAAGCATTTCCAGACGTGTGTATGAACAAAATATGATCAGATTGAACCCATCTATCTACCACATGTATTTATTTATGCCCTGTATATGTTTTTCCTTACCTGCTGCTGTTCTAGTTGTTTATTCAACTGACCTGTGGGTATGCAATGTTTTCTTCCTTTTCCTGTCTTCTATTTATTTACTGTGGCTTGTTCCGAAAATGTGGATTTTGTTATTACTGTGTGTATGTTGGAATATTGATATTATTAATATGCAGTCATTAATCATACATATGTTAATTACAATTGAGAGCTGAGTAGCTCAGTCTGTATAGTGACTGGGCTATAGCCACAACAACTATAAAATAGGAGTTTGTTTGCGAGTGGGGGAAGGAGTTTTCTTTTTGCCACTGCACCCAGAATGGCTGGGAGTCTTTCCCTGGGGGTAGAGCAGCCGGGCCATGAAGGTGACCCGATCACCTCCATCTATTGATTCGGTTAAAAATATGTGGGGTTATACATCCACTTCT